CCCCCCCCCTATCTCTACTTTTTGTCACTTTGATGTTCCTTCGCCTCTGTGAAGCTTGAAGTCAACTAAAGGGCTAATGATAACTATCAAAACGCCTGCCATTTGGTATAAATAAATAACTTTTATTAAAGGCCTTAGTGCGCTTTTCTTCGACCAATATTAGAGAAAAAGAACTTGAGAACCCTTAAAAACAATAGAACTGGTACTAATACAGAGCACAGACTTCCGTCTAAGGTTCTACCAATTTGACAAATTCAACACGACTAGCCAAAAAAGAGGATGAGAATACAAACTCATGAAATTCTATCGCTCTAAAATGAGCACAAAAGAAATTAATGAGGCCTTAGATAACTACGTAATAAACAATAAAAAACAAAACACATATTCTAATAAAATGAAATTAGGTGCACATACCCGCGCGAGATCCGGTAAATCCGTTTTAATATAATGATTCAAATGCGCATTGATAGCTGTGAGTTGGAATAGATACTCATTCCTAGCACCGGCGGATCGACTTTCACACTCATCCCGTCGCTGTGAAAGCTGAAGAAGAAGAAGAAAAACTGAAAATATGGAAGGAAAAATAGCCTGAAATATGGCCGGCGGTCTCTCAAATTAGTACGTATTATGGTCCTTGACATAATTTGGGAACACAAGAGTGTGCTAGATAATCTTTGTAAGAAAAAAGTATTCTCTTTCGCCTCTATCGACCACTGTTTGGACAAATAATTTAGGAGCTTACAAAGAGCAGTTTACTACTGAAGATGTCCCGGTTAGATATATCAAAAATAAAAAAATTTGACATTTCTTAAGCAGAAAATAAATAAATAAATTGGATGAAATTTCTCAGATGATCATTTCGCGATTTCTCACCATGTGGAGAAATAAATATCGATTAATGTAGTTCTTCACTTAAACCGATTTCATTACCGGAGATCAGCACTAAGATATAAATTTAAAAAAAATATTTATAGGTAATAAATAGTACCTTAGCAAATCATTTAACTCTAACTGGAATTACTACGAGATTTATTCATTACTATCAATTTCTAAGATTTCGAGATTTCATTTGATTAGAAAATAACACGCTTTAGTGTTAATTTGTACTACTCAAAATGCATTTAATTGAGAAAAGTAAAACTTTACTTAACCTGTTTTGTAAATAAATAATAAAGGTAAAAATGAGTCACCTTAATGTGGTTGCGATGCAACTGAGCCATAGAGTTAAATATATTTGTGGAGCGTCTTCTCAATTTATCCTCAACGTTCATAGCTTTGACTCGAGTATCCTGAGCCTGTTTTTCTTCCTCTGAATAAATTTTCTGCGACTTAACCATTTCTTGCATTGAAGCCGCCAAGTCGTTCTAATAAGAAGCAATAAAAAGTTAGTATAAAAAATATACTTACCTGGAGAGATTTCAATTGTTCGAAAATTCTTTTCGAAACACTGACTCGAACAGATTTTACTGGCTTCAACTCTAAACTTAATCGATGATGAACTTCAGCTGATTTAAGATGAGAAAGGGAAAGAGCATTGAATTCCCTCAGACAAGTTTTCCAAATATCCCATACGGAGCGATGTCTACGCGAATAGATGAAGCAAGGCACATTTACCCAACATTTGGAGGATTTTGTACAGCTAAAAATTCCTTCTTGCCAAGGAATGAGGAGCAAAGTTTTTGCAGCGACTGCCCATATTCTTTTTCGAGAATAGCCCTCTGTTTACAGAAGCTCCTATAAAATATCTCGACGAAAAAAAGCGCTAATATACCGCATATCTTCAAGTAATTCAGTATCATTATTTTGTTTTGATAGCAGTTTTGAAAATTGTTCGGTTTGAATGTGCTTAAGTCGACTTTGTGGCTAGAACCTAATAACATATTTGAACGAAAATACCTTTTTCGATGAAGCTTGCATAACGAATATGTTATGCCAATCCACCAATCGCAAAACAGCCAATGACAATTTAGTAGTAGCGCCTTTTGTAAAGAAAGGTTTTCAAGCCAATTTAGATCAACTAAACTAAAGTTAAAAAGTTTAGACGGCAGGTGAAATGTTTTTATTTAATATATAATTAATTTTAATTCTTTTTGTATATAACCTTCTTTAAATGTTAGCAAAACATGCATTAATGTATTTATTGACCATATATTAAGTAAGAAATATTTGATCTTATACGTTATGCGTAATTTTATACATTATATTCTCCCTATTAATTAAAAAAAACATATTATATTTTGCGTTTTAATGACTAAATGAAACCATTACTGAATGTACTGAAGCTCACAGTTATTTTATTTTATATGAAGATGACCTAAAGTTATAAATCGAAAAATATGAAGAAAATTTTCACGGCAACAAATGAATAAACTGAAAGATAGAATGAAGCGTGAAATAAACTCAGGAAAAGTGTTTGACTAATTCAACTAGAACCTCAAATGGACTCTAGAATGTTACTAGTTCTTAGGATTTCTTTCTCAATTTAAGAAACAAAGTGACGTAGCAACAATTTCAGCCAATAGGTGCTGAACATCTTTGACAATCTCTCGTTGCAATATGGATAACGACTCATGAATAGTTAATTTTAACGGTGACCTCTGATTTGGTGATTGTAGTACGACCGGAAACTGAGAATCAAATAAATCGGTATTATTTCCATAAGGCCTTTTATCCCCACCCAATTTCAAAACACTTGGATATTAGTGGTAAATTTTTCTGCCAATCGTACCTGAAATTCACTTAATCGATTTGCGTGTTCTTCCTTAAAATCTCTATCATGGAACTGATCAATCGCCTCCGAGTGCTTTACCCTCTCGAGTATCTTTTAGAAGCATCAGAGCAAATGTATAATGCACCGTCTCTGTAATTACTGCAAAAATATTCACATTGGGGCAGATTTTTATTTGAAAACATATATGTACATTTATGTATACTTAAATCTTTTTAGTAGCGATATTACTACCTCTGCAGTGTTCATGAAGGGCAGCAGCGCGAGTCGGGTTGGCAGTAACTGTTCGCAAAACAGGCAGAGAAGTATCAAAGCCTAGAAGGCGTCCACAGTTGACACACGGCTCTTGATAAAGTCTCGTATATGTTGCCAACCAATTGCAGAATTCAAGAAGAGCTACCGCTTGAGTTTGAGGCTCAGCTACATTAGCAAAGTGAATCATCGCATTTTGAGCCGCCTCGGTGATTCGCCTAAAGGTAACGAACCGGCTTGGGGTTGTGAAGTCCAGCTCTCTTGAAGACGGAAGTTGGTTATCAGGAAGCTATTGAAAGAACAAGGAAGATAATCAACCCAGAACCCAGAATCCCTGGCCTTGAAAAATTTCAACCAACCACAGTGCGATTTCAATCGATCACTGTTGGCTAGAAGTTATTTTACATTGTTAATACTCCCAAAATGTTTTCAGCTTCGAATCATCATCTTTACTCACCTTGCAGCCCATATATATTGCTAGAGCATTAACTGTGATTCAAGCTTCTCAGTTTTTCCATCCTAATATAAACATTTCAGCAACCATCTTCCTCTTTCTTACTCTATTCTACTGAAACGACTCTATCCTTCGATAAGTCATCGTAAACATTGTTTGACTCTGCACTCCACATCTGCCATTAGTGCCACGCTCATCAATTAATTTTCATTACTTTGAGACCTCATCATTAACCCAATCAAAGTACTCAAAGCAATCTGAGAGGCTTAAACAAAGACATTGTAAAACACTAAGTGCATTATTACTTATGAATTGGTATTAAGGTAAGGTAAATTGGCAACTCCCCAAGATAGTATTAAAGCACTTGCAAGCACGTTGCCCAGCAGAGGGAAATAGAGAAGCCAGGACTATTGCCTTCACCACACGGACAGTCGTATTTTCAGGTTTCCTCTCCTTGTAGACTTATATTGCCTTATCTAAATGATTCATTGCTCAAATCCTTATCCAGAACCCACCCCCTTCTTGTTGCCTCTTGGTTAAAATGGATGATTGATGGCAGGGCATAGGAAACAAAGCCTAAGCACATGACCCCGCATTTCAAAACATTTAACTGAATTTTTGCTTACTTGATCTAGACTTGGCAATAGACCAGGCAAAACCCGACTGCTCAACTCCGGATCTTGAATGAGCTCCATCATCGCACGAGACCGACGAGTTGGTGTCTGCATGGTGGAAGCGAGGGCTCGATTCGCCCGAGATATATAACCTGGCAAGCAGTGGGACTCATCCAACGACCGAACAATCACATTCTCCGCGTAGAGATTGCCAAATGTTACAAGACAGTGCATAACTTCGCCGACTTTGATGTAGAGAATGGGATTTCGTGTGTGAATATCAATGATGGAAAAATGCATGTGCAGGGCGGCGAGACGTGTGAGTTCCATGGCGGAGGAAAGCGGCTGAAAGGCGGAGTTTCTACAGATTTAAGAAGGAAGATAGGAATGCAAATATCGTGGGTTTTCTACTAGATGGATCGAAACAAAAAAACTATTGCCATACAAATGACAAGTACATGGAGACTAATATAAAGCGAAGGCAGGTGGACTTCATATTAATTATAATTTTAATTGCCACTTTCCTACGGGCTTTAAGGCGATCGCTGGGGCTTATGGTCAAGGTTTGCACTAAGGCACTATCTACTGCAAAGTGGATAAAAATATGGGTGCGCGATAGGCTTACCTCCATGTGGTGTACTCTGGCCAACGTATACTCATACAACAAGAAGTCTATAAACCGGCAGCTGACTTCTGCCTCCAAATTACCATGACCCCCCCCCCCATTGTATGTCATATTCCACCACTTCCACAGTACTCATCTTACCTAAAACGCTTTCCTGAATGGATTCAGAAGTTTTTCATTGTGTTCCGAATAACATTGGTATTAATTTGTGCTGTTAAACTTTACAAAACTGGTCAAATGCATCACTGATGAGGATTAAGGAAAACTACTTGAAGCTAGTTAAAGCCGAGTTTATACTCTCTAGGCTCTTTTGAATACAACAACTTACTGGAAATATTCACCAGATTGGTCCTGTATGTGTTGCAGATTACTGTTAAAGTGAAAAAGAGTAAGTGCCGAAAAAAAATCCTTGCCTGCATTCATACAAGTCGGCTAAAACAACTCCACACACATACAGACGATAAACAAATGTCATTTATTACAGAATCTACACATCGAACACCAATTCTTCTTCGAAATGGACACGCAAAATAATAAAAAAGGCCATTTATGCTGAGAGAATCGTTACACGAAACTAATGCCACAAATCGGTAGATAGACTTACACATTCCATGAACTGTCTCTGCAAAAAACATTAGCGAAGGAACTTTTAATAAAAAGGAGGCAATCCAAATCAATGAGGAATACCAAGTACGACAGCAACAAAAACCGGTGTCGCAATATAATGTGGATGACATTAGAAAATTCGTTGATCATTCATAGACTCATCATAATCGCACTCATATGGAAGCGTGTTTACCATATTAAGGTATTACCCATATTGACTAGGATAGCTAAATTACCATTGGAGAAGCCCGGTGTGCGCGATAGACTTACCTCCACGGGGTGCACTCTGGCCAGCATATAATCATACGGCAAAAGTCTATAAACCAGCAGTTGACCCCACTGTATGTCATGTTCCACCACTTCCACAGTACTCAACTCACATTTTCCCAACCTTTGTGTCACCCTGTCTCTTTTACATCTGTGAATCACTCCGCTGTTCCCCCCTCTCGAATTTTTCTCGCTTTGATGTTCCCCCCACCCCCCTGTGGAGACCGAAGTCAACTAAAGGGCTAATGCTAACTATCATAAAGCCCGCCATCTGATATAAACGCCTAAAAAGCCCAGTCTGAAGAGTCACTTAATACGTTTCAAGGAGAAACCTTATATGTGCGTCCAAATAAAGTCATTAAGCCAACTTAGACAGCAACTCAAGAGGAATGGAGAGAGAGTAGAAAATTGTTTGGTGGGAATCACATAAGCCTCCAAGTAGGATTAACTAAAAGGAATCGACAGTAATTAACCCATGGGCCTAGCAACGGAAATTGCATTAGGACAAACAAACCAACCTCAGAAAGCGGCCGCAGTTTGCCAGACCAAGTTGTAAGGCTTCAATCCGGTGGTTCATCCTTTTCAACCATCGACACGCTTCATTTCTTCCAACCAACCAATCTACTTTCGACAGTCCACGCTCATTATCATCCCGAATTTCCATAGTTTCCATCGATACGGCCAGATTAAAGGGCAGGAGACAGCGTAGATCTGCACTTTTCTTCCATTTCGAAGCCAACTTCTCCAATGCTTCCAATGAAGTCCTAGCAAAAAAACACCATTAGTAATGGGGAATATCGAGCAGTAATACCCACTTTAACGCTTGAAATGAATCATCAATTTCGCCTCGTATCGTAGTCTTTCCTTCCTCAACCTCGCTTTTGACTGTTTCTGAGACATTTTTGTTGAAGATATCCGTCAAGTGGAGACGAATTTGACGCACTTCTCGGATACTCGAGAGAGCCCACTGAGAAAGGATGTCTAAGTGACGCTCCTGATCCTTGAAAAAGACAGCAGATTCCTAATAAAACGTGCACCACAAAAAGACACAGTGACAGCCAGAAGACAGTGAACGTTGATAGTAAATGAGATCATTTATTAATCATTGGTCTGAAACATAGGAAGCCATGATACCATTGACGAAAGCTTAACGAGACTAGAAGAAAAATCACGTGGGGGGGGGGGGGAAGGGAAAAAANAAAAAAAAAAAACCCGGGGGGGGGGGGGGGAATGGATAAAATCAAGAAAAAAATAAATAAATAAACAAAAAGTTATTCGAAGAGAAATGATTTCATCAAGAGTCGCCTCGAGATGTCAAGGCTGCGGCGAGCTCCTCTTTGAATGCGATCGTCTGTTTTGGAGGGAGTGTTGACTTGTCCGTTCGGAGCTCCTGGAGGATAAGACGGGTCTGTATTGGATATACAGCTCGCAATTTGCCGAAGACATCGCTGTCTACCTTCTGAAATAAAGCATAGATGTCGTCATATTAAAGAGTAGGTGTGTCCAATTTAATACTGCTGAGCATATAATTAACAAATAAATTCTGTGGTAATGAGGGAAGATATTTCTATTAACTGTATAAACACTGTTAAGGCCGAATCCAAGCTATTTCATTGGCTCGTTCTACATAAAAACGCTAAACCTATAACAGACAGATAGGATTATCTTTCAGCATTTATTTGCTCCAAGAATATTTGCAGATACCTTGCTTAATTCGAGTGGTAAAAGACTAAACGCCGAACTTAACATCAACCTTTGTGGAATTCTAGAAAGAACGTTGTTATTTCAGGAGAAAAAATCACTTTGGGTGAATGAAACAATGGAAATCGGATGTAACAAATAGAAAGTATTTCCGTATTGACCTATGTGCTTCTATTCATCCGTGATCTATCAAAGCAAACTACGCTAATAAACAAAAAAACAATCTAGTCTCTCTTTTTTTGTAAAATCAAAGTTTTTTTTGAAAACAATGCATTTTTACTCCATTAACTATATGCATGTGCGGAAATGTAAATTCTAATGCAAACAAACCGGAGAGAACTCAAATCACATTTGACAAAATTGAACACATACCTCAATAAGACGACCAATATTTCTTATATGAGATTCGGTTAAATTAGTGGAAGAAACTTTAATTTCTTTCGATCGTCGGTGACGAAAGTAAAGAGAGAAACAAAGGTTCCCCATGTCTTTATCAACAAACTCCTGCTCTGTCAGTTTGATTGAATACACAACAGAAAGACTGTAGTTGATGCTGGAGATAAATTTTTCCTGCATGTAAAACATAAATCTTGAATTTAAGGGAGACAAATAAGAAAATATATCGAAAAATAACTTACATTTACGTCTATTAAATAAGCTATTTCAATATGAGGTGATTTAATTAAGCAACAGACAATAACACCAACATCACGACTAAGACAATAGACAGACGTAATAGGCTGATGATTGTAATACCTGAAATAAATAAGGTCAATACTAACATGAAAATACCAAGAGATATTCACGCAAAATACATACGAACAGACTTACGAACTAGCGTAATGTACAAGCGCATAATTAAGTCGCTCTTCAAGATATCTATGCTGTTCTTTTGGAAGAGGAGCATCAGAGATATGCGGAAGGAAGGCATTATTCCAGGGTGATCTTGTGGACCCCATATATCTGTTAGCATCACAGCAAATATACTTTCTACCCTAGAAATAATTTAAAACAATGGCAATAACTAACATAAATAAGGTTATGTATACAAAACTATTAAAATAAATGTTCATCACTACTTACGGTTGAATCCTGGCTAACATCAAGAGGAAAGAGGCGTTCTGGAGAATCAAATGCGAAAATGAAGGGAAAGTGTTTTTTTAAGGAAACGATGACATCTGATATTCTGTTTGGTGGGATTGAAGAAAGTAACTTTAAGTCCTAAAAGGTAAAATTTTTTGATCAAACGAAATAATGTGAATGATAAAATATAACACCAAATGAAATTACTTGTATTTCATCCCTCATTAAAACTTCTCCCATCACAAGACCCACCTACACCAACCTACAAGCCTCCCAAGGCCAGACTCAGCGTATGAAAATGCCATTAGTTAAATAGTGGTAACTTTTCACAACTTCTTCAACCATAATTTTTAAATCAATTCATTAAATATTAAACTTTATCAATTAAGATACACTTAACAAGTTTATTCTCAACAATTTTGCCTTTTGATTATGTTATGGTTTAAAACTAGAAAATTATGTTCTACGCGACTTTTAATTTATCAAAACATTTCAATACAAATATTATTTAAACTATTTATGACTGACTGGCAAGATTTCTTCTTTCCAGATATGGGATATTTTAATTATTAACCTCACTATTCGCTATGCACTAGAAATGGATTTTCCTAGAATAACCTGCTTATTCGTGAAAACATAATTAATGCATCAAATTATTGCATAAATATACATATTTCTATGCCATCAATCATGTACTGTATAGTAATGTAAAGAGTGAAGGATTTGACATCACCCACTTCCATTGAGCACAGAAAATATATTTACATTCGTGCTTTTAATCGTAAATAATTTTTGCAGAAGTTGATCGTGTTGGTTACAATAATATTTGAAATTATATCATTAATTCGTATATCCACTACATTTGTACCATTTAATATAAATTTAATCCCTTGAACTATATCATCTTTCTGACATCTAAACATTAACGACAATTACTCATGGTTGGGTCTAGACAGCAACATCTGTAAGGGTCAATCGGTAGGTGATCTTGCACATAAAAAGCTTTTTTGTGAGTCAGTGAAGGCGAAGCACAATTAACTTTTAAGGAAGAAATAATTTTATTAATTTAATATGTTTATGAATGAACTGGGGTAATTTTCTTACCAACTCAGTTATCAATCTACCATTAATTGTATATTACCCAGATTCACAAATAGCATAAGATGTGCTCTAATTAAATTAAATCGTAGTTTATGCAAATTTTCAAAAGAAAAGCAGGGCAAGCGGAATGGCCTCTATTAGATCAACATGTTGTGCATACTGGCCAAAGTAATTATATAAATTGTTCAAACGAATTCCATCTTCTTCGAAAAGTCATTTATCGTATTACAGAATAACTAGTTTCGCGACATGACTGTCTTCTTTTCTTTCTAATTCTAGTAGTACTGGTAGTACTACAGCATAGAGGAAATATGCTTTACTAAATAGTTGTTAAACACCGTAATATACTTTATATTTATTGTTCACCGGATCATAGAAAATCTGTGGTAAATATAAATACACCTTCTTCAATCGTACTTTTAATTGAAATATTATTGGATCTAAGTTCACAATTTGTTACATTAAATCATAATCAGGTATGAAAAATATGCACCTAAGCAACAACTAATCTGAAATACTTTTTTACGAAATATTACCTGTTACTATCTGTTTAATAGGAAATCTCTATGTTTACTCACAAAAGTTACACATTGGCAGTTAACCAAAAGTGTATAATAGAACTGAATTTTATTCAAAACTGGTGTATGAAACCCGTTATCATTACTTAATAAAGAATAAAGTGTGGGAAAATACATATCCAATAACAATTAATATAATATCAAAGGTAATTCTCACATCCTAACTTCTTCATCTATAGATTTTACCGTTTTTAAATGAATTTATTTAGATTACGGCTGTATATGGTGTATATTATAAATTTCCCTGTCGACTTTTGAACTAGCATTTGTTAATACGTGTTTTGGGGTTACATTTTGTATTGCGTTGTTGTCGAATTGTATTTTTAACTAGTTCAGATCCTATTTCTAAAAAAATCTTTAAGTCGTTTTCTATTAGGAACGCTGACCTTGGACCCTAGTATTTAGTTTACTACCATCAACTAATTAATAGTCTAAGACCGTTTCTTATCGTGTTGCACGTTCTTACTGCCACAAAATTTCGAGTTCAAGATGTGAGGACATCGTGGGAGTAGATGTGGTTATTAAAACATTCATATCCGATAAAATGTGACCCTAATCGCAGGTAAAATGTCGGCAATCTTCTGCTGGCCCCGACAGTCATTTAACTCAATAAGTGCTGTTAGGAATGTCTGCACTTTGAAAACCGGAATGGTGAGATGGATTCACACCACATGCAACTCAAACCAAAAGGATTTGGTCTATCGAGCCTTCAAAGTCGCCATTCTTTAAGTAGTCTTGATGCTATTATTTTGTTGACATTCTATGCTTTACAGCTCGGGGTGTGCGATAGACTTACCTCCACGTGGTACATCCTGGGCAACGTATACTCATGCGGCAAAAAAGTCTACTAACTGGCAGTTGACTTCTGACTTCAAACTACCATCACCTCATTATATGTCATATTCGACTACTTTCACTGTACTCACCTCACCTTTTTCCACTTCTGTGTCTGTCTCTTTTACATATTTGAGACTCTCTTCTGTTCCCCCTCTCCCTCTCGACTTGTTTCACTTTGATGTTCCTCCTCCTCTGTGAAGCCTGAAGTCAACTAAAGGGCTAATGATAACTTTCACAACGCCTGCCATTTGATATAAATAAATGCTTTACAGCTCTCTAACAGCAAATGGTAGCAAGATAAATTGAAATGTTTTGTTATAATCGGTCAAATTATTATTCCCATTTTCCACCAACATTTGATGACTTTCCCTCCTAATGCCTCGGTGTCAACGGTAGATAATGCAATCTAAGAAAGTTGTGCTTCCCACAAAACTTTTCCCTTTTGTAAGGTTATTTATTTACCCTCTTGTGTTAACGAATTTCTTGAGATTGACCTATCGAATTGAAATCGTGCGCCTTGTTCTGAAAAGAGATTTTTAGTTGCTGGGCATTGTCGATTATAGTTGCAACCAATTTAATTTCTTTGTGAATCTGAGTGTCGTTTGCAATTTCCTTCGTAGAAGAACAGGTCATAATGGTAACTTTGGGATGATAAAGCATTCGCATCAACAATTTACTCTTAGCTTTATTCCGTATTTAGTGCAAGAAAAGCATTATAGATTGAATCTGAATGGCTTGTGGATGATGACATTCATGCCATCTTCGTCCCACATATGCCTAATAGTAAGGTCATCAATAGTGTGAATATGCTTTATTTGAACTGAGTTGAATTTTGTGGTCACTTTGATTACACTTTCGAGGCTTGGAACATGTTGAAACTTGAGAAAGCAGTCAACCGAATGACTTTGAAGTTCAGGTGGAGTAGAATATTCCTTTAAGCTTGAATCCAACGTGCTTGGTGGCCACCTCTCTACTAAGTCTTCTAATATATTTTCTGTGCGCAATAAAAGTGCAAAATTTATGTGTTAATACCCTCTAAAGTTTAGTTTATTAAAAATGCAAACGGAGGCAGGAAATGAAGCTTCGAAAGCTTCCGTTTAAGGTATAATTCGAAGAGCAACTTTGCTAGTAAAAGGAGACTTGCTTTATAGTATTATATATTCTTCTGAAGCTTTCTTTATCTTCACTGTAGATCGTCGTATCTTCGTTCAATGTTGGCCTTAAGAAACAATGTTGATTCATCATTTTGGTGTAATTTTAAACTAAGACAATTATTTGTCATCGTATTGTTCCCAGTATGATTTGAATTAGTCGACAATTTAATAGATACCTAATTACCTTTCACCCCACCCCCAAGTGAAGTTATTTGGTTTTAAATGAGGTTTGCTGAACTGAGCCTAATAATCAATTGGATTGAAATGCGGAGTTTCCGTGTAGTAATTGTTGAAATTTTATTCTAGAAATCGAGGTTGTAAAATTTTATCGATTGGATAGATGGAAGTCCATACCCATAAACGTTGCAATTAATTATCTTTGTCAAAGCGAAGTACAAACCTTAATCAAGAGTAAATATCTAATCTAATGGCAAAAGAGAANGCCTGAAGTCAACTAAAGGACTAATGATACTTAGTGAAGGACAAATTCTCTTCCAGTTATGCTTGAGAGAAAATTTACCCGCGTGTATAAGGAGGGAAGTGAATTTCACCCTATTCTGCTTTAAACAACAACAGAGGCCACTAAGAGATCTGTGAGTTTGTGCTCACCAAATTGGTTCCGAGGCATACCTCCCCCCCCCCCCCCCCCCNCCCCCCCCCCCTTCCAAATTCTAAAGTGAAAAATTATATGCTTGCACACTCCCCTTGGGAACTTGTAGAAAGAGGAAACAGACCTTATTTTAAACTTTGTTTGGACCAACTTTAAGATCAAACGCTGACTCAGTTACCCCCACCCCTCTGTGTCCTAATTTTCGTGCCTACATGACTAGAGATGAATGTTTACCATAATTAGGAATGCAACCGACTTTTCGGTTTGCATCACAACCGCCTTTTTCGAACTTCATATCACTCTTCCTCTCACTTGCATTGGTATTTGCTCTAATAATTACCAAGCCCCAAATTAGAAAGCCATCTTGTTAAGAAGATGGGTTGAATCCTGGGGACGCACAAGGTGAGAAACTCGAATTCCGCCAGCACCTTTGTTGGCAATTCTAATTCAGTACGATTGTTCATTTCTTCCAGTGGGTGAACATCACTGCACCTCTAATTTCCCAAGGGAGCACGCTAATTGCCGTCTCATCGACGTTGTTATAAATAATGGTGTTTCTGGTCTTCTGAATTGACAGTTCTCCACAGGGTGTTTATGTGGCCATTTCTTAATAATAAGGAGGCTCATCTTAGGCATGTCTTCCTCCGAAATTTACTCGTACCTTTTTGGAGCAACAACATGGTGAAGAAGGGGCTCAACACCATTCCCTACTCGTCCACTGAAAAGAAAAATTTGCCAAAATCCAAGGAATGGGGTACAGGAAGGAGAGAGAGAGAGAGAGAGAGAGGGAAGGAACAGGTGAAACAGCAACATTGTAGCATTTCTTTCCCGAAGGAGAAAAACTGGAAATATTTTAATGAAATGAGGGCAAAATTTCTACCTGGCCGCATTTTAGCTACAGGCCTAAAACAAAACGGTGGTGAATTGTATGGAAGAAGACTCTATAGCTATTAATCTTAA